GCTCAACTACCTCGCGACTCATTCATGTTAGTTATGCCTTGTATCCGTGACTATCTCAGAAGATGACATTTTCAAAACTCAGTAAAGAGCAAGACTGAACACAGCATCGCGTTTTGAATATTTTTTAAACGGCTTTAAGTGGAGAAATCGCCATGTTTACGTTAAGAATACTATAGACAAACTAAAGCACTCATGACAGGCAGCAGAGACGACAATTTATTACACAAGTATACTGGCTGGTCTAAAGTTTAACAAGGGGTTCTGTTTGAAATTGTCAGTATCGTTTTTAAGTTACTTGAACTTGTGTTTCGCGCTAACAGAAAACAAAGTTGCGGTAACTGAGGAGTAAATGTGTAGAAGAACGCATTTCACTGGCGTCAGAAAAAGAAAACATATTGAATAATCCAAACATACTATGTACAATCCAGTTCAGGCGTAGTCGTAAAACTTGGACTTCTCGCAGAATGGCATTTTTCTTTATATAATAAAGCTTCTATAAAACAGCAATCGAACACCCTCCCCACCCGTTACCTCACCTTTGCTTCTCACTGCCCAACCCTCCCTTCCCTAGCCCAATTACCCTTCTGGAACCTCTCTCTTTTTGTAAAACGTGGTCTGACGGGAAAATTATTATACATGCAAAGAAAACAAAGTGGAAATTGCTTTACAATAGACTCCCGATTTTTCAAACCACCTTGGCGGCATGGGAAAGCAAATTTGTTCCAGTTATCGGCATTTTGAAGATCGGGGGTAAACAGTGTTTGGCTGGTGAAGGGAAGTTAGGTTTGCTTCAAAATATGGGGAATTTCAAGACACCGAGAGTTCGGGGATCGTGATTCTATTGTACTTTACCGATCGCTCTGAGCAACAGTAAAGCAAGATGGCTTGAAAGAATCCTTGTTTCGCTCAACAAGGAAGTTGCATCATAGATTAATTCCTTGTCGTCTCTCAGTTGTGAAGAGCTCACGGTTGACCCATAAATTGTCTCCTACAAGACGAAACCTTGATAAATGGATTTCTGGAAGGTATGCATTCAATAGTTTTATCATGTTAAAACTTCGACGGAGGCTAATATAAAATGTCGGTTCTGTTTTAGTTTTACTACAAATTTCTCAATGCAATCGCATAGAAACCAGGAGCACCTATCGACTGTTTTCTGTGAATTATCTGTTCGGAGAAGCAAATATTGACTAAAATTTTCTATTACTTGAGGACGGCTAACACTTTCCAGATGACCGTTCCACTCATATATAATTTTCGAAACTTATCTAATAAATTCCTTACGATTTTCTAAAGTTTAATTTTCACATTTCACTTAGAAAGTTATGCCACGGTTTCGTGGAGAAAAGGAAACCTTAAATTTTCGGACTCAAAAATTCAAAGGGGAGCTTGAGAAATCAGAAAATGTCTCACGGTCGTAATACGTCAAACTGCATCTAAGATTTTCGGGAAATTAATACTTAATCCGGCCTGTAATTTCGAAAATACGCAAGTTCCCCTAGGGTGACCGAACAGATTCATATTTTATAGCGCCACTTAGAATGCATTTCTAGACATCTTATAGTACTCTGGATTGCCTAAAAAGTTTTATCAACGTATTTAGAAGGGAAACCGTCCGTTGGGTGCCCGTGAGAAACTGCATTCGCATCAGTTCCTGATTCCGCTTTCAATATCATTTTGATTTTACACTTTCAATTTTAAATTTCGGAATACAAAAATGTACAATTTCATTGCACATATCAATCAAGACTAAGTTGATCATGTGTCCAAGCAAAGATCAATTAGAAATGAAATACTGAAAAGTGTCGTTAAATACTGAACTATTAAATATAACCCAGTGTCCAAAACTCGACGTATAGCGACAGAGAATCTCTGATCGGGACTAGAAATTAAAGTGATCGATCGATACAAAAAGAGCCATGCGTCATAAAATCTATACATTTTCGCAGTCTTTTTTCCTCAGTTTTACTCAAACCATCATCCCAATACATTTGCGTTCTTAACCAAGAAGAGGTACGTAACCAAGTAAGACGAAAAATGAACGGGTCAGAAACTGAAGAAATATTAAAAGAAAAATCGTCCAAAAAAAAGGACAGCAAATATATATCATCGAGCACGAAAAATCTTCAGTGGATGGGTTGTTAAAGAGAGATTTCGGGTTACGTGTGACTTATGAAGCAGATCTTGAGTAGGAGCGAACGTGTAATAAGATTTAGAAGTCTTAGAAGTTCCACGACTTTCGCATCTTTCATTTCGTGTTCACATAGACAGTATGAAAAATGTGTTCACCCATTAATTTGCGACTCAAACCAATTCTGGATTGGTGACGACGCCATATGAAAATTCAGAAAGATATTAAATTTAATAATCTCAAGTAGAATTCGTCCTCCGGTCGTAAAGAGACCACGAGAGTGCAGTATTAGTGTTAATTAAGAAACTAAATATTACAAAAACAGGGACTCCAGTTTTCTTCTCTTTTTTCCAAGTCCGAGGTAATAGATTTATGATTACCCTTCATGTATGCTGTGGCTCGCAGTAAAGATGCCATTTCATTGGATGAATCACTGACTGACAAAACAAACACTACAGCCAATAGCATTGCTCGTTGGAACATAGGTATACAATGTCCTCTTAACCTGTTCCTACGAGCATAGAATGATGATTCATGAAGATCACAAAATAGTCGGGAAAACGAAGACAAGACAAGAATTAAGAGATTAACAAAAACAGAGTAGGTTTGTATATTTTTGCTTAGCCGTGGATTCTTTAAAAGTTACATTTTACGTATTAATCACAATTTTCCTATTTTCTCTTACTTTGCAGTCACAACTGTGGTGCAACTGGAAATCTTAGAGGTAAGTTGAATGCCTCATAATAAACCGTGTTGGTGTGAGGTTTCGAAAAAATCTCCGTCGACTTTTTTAGAAAATGAAATGTTTTAGAAATAAACTCGTCAAAAGGCGAATATTTTAGACTGATGAATCCTCCCAAAAAAAAAAAGCCTCTCGTGGTCTGATAATAAGTTAGCCTCTCGTTGTATTAGCTTTACTCTCGAGAGTGAATTCAGTTTAAAATTTTTCACTTGAACAGTGCTTGCACACTTTAGGGAGAATTTTTTTCGGATTTTTCATATGTTTTCAAGCTAACAACCGTGCATCATGTTAATTAGTCAAGATATGATGTTCAGTCTATCAAAAAAGCGTTGCAGTAGTTCGTTTTAGTTGTGCCAAAAATCTAAAGGGGCATTCTTCAGAATTGACTGAGCTTCTTCAAGGAGTCAAAATTGTCAGAGGTCAGATTAAAAATAAAAAGAGAAAGAAACGAGGATATCTTTCAGGAAGTTCACTGCCTGGGCCAGTTAGACAAGAACCTGTTTAGCCAAAATTTGAAACAGGTTCTTATTTAAAAATAGTGTTTTAAAAACATTTTGTACGATTGAAAAATAAAAAAGTCAACATTCAGGATCCCGTTTGGAGACATAGGTACTTTATCAATCCAACTGGAATGTATTGGTTTGCAGTGATTTTATTTAAGGAATAAGCTGAATACAACTAAATACTTTTAGCTACAATGTAGTTTTTCTTTCAGATAATCAGAAGAACCTATTTAAGAACCTAAATAGCATAAATTTGTGCCAATTACCATTTATGTAAGAACCTGTTTAGGCGAAATTGGGAAAATGCAGGTTCTTAGTCACTGGTTTTTACTGAATAACCTCTAAAGCGTCTTCGGAAAAGTTACAGTGATAAATATTTTGAATGGCAAATTTGTCGCATGCAAAGTTTTCCAAAAGTTACATCTGCAGAGAACATGAATGATTGTCTTCATTCGTCAAATTATCACGTCAGTGTCCTTCAAACTTGGTTCAACTTGTATCTCAAAGGAAGTTTAAAACAGTTCTTATCATTGGCCGGTTTTCAAAATAATTGCTTAACGTCATGGAGCCTTCCAACTCGTTTTAACTTGCTACTTAAATAAAACAAAAGCAGTACATGACTCCTTTCAATTCGTCAATTAAGACCGACTGATTTACATGTAACCAATAGGAATACTTCTAGAAACTTACATTTAACAATATTTCAAACTTGTCCAAAACACGTTTTTAAGTAAACTTGGTCAAAACAGGGCATAAAAACTTTCGTACTTTCAAAAAAATTATCATTCGTCTTGGGATCACTACGGTCGTTCATACAAGTAAGGTAGGACTTGAGTCAATGTTTCCAACAATCTTTCGTATCAAACTAATATACTCAGTTTAATTAAACGATAGCTTGGAGTCTTTTCACTTGGTTTCAATTTGAACTGTTTCTTTTCACGAAATATTTAAATGTAAGGCTTATTACTACTAGTTTTGCGCCTAAATCTTAAGCGAACGCTTCAACGAAATGTCCAAAAGTTTTAAGCGTCCGTGTAAGTCTGACATATAATTGCAAGGACATGGTAATGTATTCAAGTAATACTAAAAGATGACCTGAAATTGATGAATGAAACCTGACGAAACTGATATTTTTTCTCCAAAACAAATAGTAACTTTGCCACAGATCATCAATTCGCGTTGCTTGTTATCTGCATTTTGAATTTTTTTTTTTTAGCAAATCATTGAAACCGATGCCTTTTTAAAGAATATTTGGCCATAATTTTGAGCGTTTTCCTGTTTTCACAGGTTTCCTCATCATGCAAACCTTTATGAAGATACCGCTGGCTACTGTGTTATGCGGGCTGCTCTTACTGTTGATTACCTTGTGTTCTGCAAATGACAACAACAGCAGCAAACCACGTGACAAGGTCAGTTTGTTTAATCAAACATTGTAATATATAGCTTTAATGTATGAGAAGTGAAAGTCAGTCAATGGTACCTGAACTATTAACCTGAAAGAACTTAGTGAGGTAGAATGAATGAACGGTGATTTTTTATTTAAGGATGGTTGACTAAGGTTAATTGATTGATTTAATCAATTGATCATGAATTTATGACGGAATGAATTTTTAACTTGTTCATTAAGAGTATTCCTCAACAGACTTCACCTTATGGTTCCTGTGGTCATGGTGGGTGTTTCTGTGCACCAGGAATTCCAGGCATCCCAGGAAGCCCTGGACCTGCGGGACCAGCAGGTGTCGCGGGATCACCCGGTAATCATGGACCCGAAGGACCCATGGGCCCACGAGGAAACAAAGGTGATGAAGGAGCCCATGGAAGACTGGGAGCACCAGGCCTCAAAGGAGTTAAAGGACCTGCAGGCCCGGCAGGTCCACGTGGGGACAAAGGTGAAGCAGGTTCAGCTGGTTCCCCTGGAAACAAGGGTGATACAGGTGCTCGTGGAAGTCAAGGTCTCCTAGGTCCAAAGGGTGCTCCAGGATCATTTGGTCGTAATTGGAAACACTGCGTTTTTAAGAATCTGAATGATGGAAGGGACTCTGGATTGATTAAGGTAACTGCTGATTTGGTTGTGCTAGTTTCTATAAATCAAGCCAAAGCAAAATAAGAAGTCTGGCTTTGAAATTTGCGTAATTGCTTGTAAAGCTCATTGGTTAAGTTCTTTCAGGAAAAGATGCGTGTTTCTAAACTTGTACGAGATATACTATTCATGGAATGATACGAAATGCAGCAAAAAAGGTCCAACTTCAAGATCAGTTTAAGATATACGTATATCTTTTGGTCTGAATTTGAGTGAACTACGTCATGGCCTTCTATACTACTTAATTGTTCCCAAGGTCCAAGCTATCTTGTACAGTTAAGGGTAAAATCATTACAAAACTAGAATAACCAGCTATAGCCCAGTAAAGAGTGAGAGGAGCTCCAGCAATCCTCTTTGCAAAAATGAGTTTTCTTGTTCATCCATGGTGAAAATGTTTCCAGGGAGAAATTTCTTACTGATACAGCGAGTGATATACACGGCTTTCAGATCCGTTTTTCCTGACTGTCATGAATCAATTAAACGCGCATGTTTAATTTCGGTTCACCTAGTTCAGATCTTTCTTCTTCTGACGATTTTAAAGGAATGCATTTTCAAGAAAACATCAGATACCACTGGATTGCGGGTCTTCTGGAATGGAAATCTTCGTCTCCATAACTGCCATGATTGCTGCAGGAGATGGTATTTCACTTTCAACGGTGCTGAGTGTTCAGCACCAGCAGCCACTGACGGTATAGTCTACATGGTATATGGAAACAGCGCCAAAAAGAATCTGCACCGTGTACGTCACATTGAAGGAGTCTGTGAGAAAATCCACAAGGGTACTGTTCGCGTGGGATTCTGGGTGGGCAATTGTGCCAGATTAGGATCTGCTGATGCTGAGACAGGTTGGAACTCAGTTTCCCGGATGTACGTGGAAGAAGTACCTCCCCCACAGGCTTAATAACAGCATAACCATTAACAGAGTAATATTTCGGGGGTAATCAGTAAGCAAACTAAAGTAAACTTTGATCATTAGAGACAGGACATTAGGTTTGCGCAGAAAATGTGTTTGAAACATGAAGGTGTAGATTTTAAAGTTTACAGAGTCCTTACATTATGTTCACTACTGTCAAAAGGTGACAACAATTTTTAGAGCGACTTTTTTATCTTTATAAATAAATGGGTTTTAAGATAAAATAAATGGCGTACATTATGAATTTTATACTATCCTTCGGTACCTATGTTTTCCTGATTTAATTTTTTTTCGATTCTTTGGTTTATCATTCAATTTTCCTGCGCTTATATTTATACAAATTAATGAACTGAAGCGAACATCAAAGTCAGAGCAAATGATGAATCTTCAGCTGATAGTACTAGAATCGGGGCACCAAACGACCGAACGTTTTAGAAGTCTGTTTGGTAAATTTGTAGTTGCCCTAAATACTATTTATCTGTTCGGATGTCTTTGGGGAACTCTGGCCGTCTCGAAATTTTTAGGTGGCTAATCTCATCTGAAACTGTTAGCTACCCTGCTGGACCCGGTCGAAAGTTCGAGAACATGGAGTAGCCGCACCTTAAATAGAAGATTCTACGGAACGTTTGAATCTTTACTGAAATATTTTTTAACAAAATAATAGGGCAATATCTTGGTATTAATAAAATGTGAAAAACACAACCTCCCAAATTAAAAAAAATATCTTATGAAACCGAGTATCTTAGAATAATGTAACTTTTATCCTGAAAAACGTAGTTTTTCTCAAGCTAAAGAATGATTTGTAGGCATTATTTTATCACTCGAACGGTTGTTTTACAGAAAAAATTCGAATGCTCATGCCTACGATCAGGCATCCAAAAATCCAACAACCAAATTTACAGAATGGTATGCTATCTCTCTAACGCTCCCCTGCAATTAATACTGGTTATTCACTTCTGATCAGTCATAAGCCCGGCCAATTTAATGTTATATTACAAGTGAATCGACGTGACGTGACGCGCTCTGACATCGGTTTTCCTCCATGGGTTTGAAAACATTGTAAACTTTTTGGTAACAAAAAAAATAGATAAAATAAATAAATAAAAAACTCCGTCTTCCTAACCCCACCATAATTCTCGTACTAAAACTAAAGCTAATCTGCTAATGTGGCTGAATTAACCAACTAACACATGAACCTCCCGTGGGGATCCTTGTCCTTCGTACTACCTGTGACGTCACCAGAGTAAGTAATGGTCATAGACAACTTTGACAATCTAATTTGTTCAGGGGGAAGAGACCTTTCAAACCGAATAAGCATGATTAAGTCAAACAAACCAGAGAAAATTGTAAAAAAACCGGCGTGTAACGTCGACCAGAAAATCCGAAATTCCACATACGCCCACCGGTACATTCTTTCAAATAATTTCACCATCTTCGGGATTTAGGCGGAAACCTTTCCCACCAAAATGAAGCCTAATATACGTGCAGCAAAAGAAAAAACAGGGGAAAAAAGAAAATTTGCCTTTTGCGCATTCCCATAAACTTTAAAAGCTACAATTTTGCATCTGGAAAACTGGAGCTGCAGCATAGTGATATGTTGTGGACAGTTTTGGGTCTTTTTTGGCCAAACAGAAAACTTCCTTTTGGCTAGACAGAAAACAGCTTGGCTCGCATCGAAAGGCGCGTTTCAGCGAAATTATTAGTTGCAAGTGGGTTAGTAATAATTATAGTAACAATAATGTTGATGACGATGATGATGATAATAATGATAATAACAATCGAAAACAGAGAAGTTTATCATTTAGTTCCGGAGTCCATTTTACTGCTTACAAATAATTGGGAAGGTGAACAACCTTTGGTTCAACTCTTTTGAACTCATATATAAGATATTTAATGGTCAGTTAACAAATACATTTGCATGGTCTTTAGTTAAACTGGGAATTACCAATTAGCATTAACACCCATTAGGCCAAAAGGATTATACCTAAAACGTTATACATTTGGCTCCACTTGTTCAAACGATGGATAACGCTTTCCACTGAATGAATCACTATCCAGTGGATAACGCAATTGGTTTTCGTATTACTTATCCACTGGATACGCTGGATAGCGATTTATCCGGTGGATATCGCTATCCAACTTTTCAACAACCGGGGCTTGTACTTTTAGTAGTGTTACGACTTTTGAGGAAGAGAATGGACCATAATAACAAGTTTAAAAATACAGCGAGGGTAATTAAACACTTTCTCCAGGTGTTAAAACTCAGTAAAGAATTCCTCCCACTCTCGTTACCTCATTATGAGGGACATACAAAAAGGTTAAAATTGGTTACAAAGTTGTTCAACACTATTCTACATCTGCTGCTAAGGAATAGATAGATATATAAATTATGATAAATAGACAAATCATGCTAATATGCATCTTGTTCCATGTACTCGTTGCATTGCCATTTTAAATGATTAAGTTATTTCTTCTTTTTGCCACCTCCCTTCTTCTTGGGTGGCTTGTTTTTACCTCCCACAGCTGCAGGCTTCACTATTTTTAGTGGTTTGGACTGCTTGCCAACTGCTACCTGAGTAAGCTCTTGCTCTGTCTTGGCTTTAATAGCTACTTCCAGTCCATTACTAAATATTTTAATAAAGTCATTAATTATTCATAAAGAAAAAGCAAAAGAAATTAATGTTTAATGAGTGTCTTTATATCTAATAAAGACACGACTAAACTTTACGTCCAATTTTTTTGACCAAAATAACCCCAAATCTAAATAATAAAGCAAGAATGCATGAGTTGATCTGTATCAGGTTTTGAAGCCGTTCGAAAAACTCGCAGTCGAGTATTATCAGGTTGAACAATTCTTGGCTTCGCCTCGAGTTTTTAAACCTGATAATACACTCCTGCTAGTTTTTTTAACAGTTCACATCAAATTATGAAATATCAAAAGTTGAAGTGAGAGAGGTCTTGCCAAATATTGATTTTTTTCCTCTCATACAGTTGTAGCTGCATGATTTGGGTCAAAAGGTGGCATATTTTCTTGAATAAATAAAAGTGTGCTTATTAACATCACCACACCCGGGTGGAATGAATATGAAGAGGAGGTTGACTGCTCCCCACAAAATGAGGCTGACCCGAAGGGTGAGGGGGAAATACAGCCAGGTGTGTGTTATTACCTTGATTACAGCTCTAGTGCTATCGCTGTTATTTCCTCTACGTCGCTTATTAAAAACCTACGATAAATTTGCAGCTATTCTGGATAGATACATTAGCACGTAATGCAGTACATGCTTTGGAAGTGCTTAGTTTTAAAAGTAGTACCAGCCCCTCCACTCCTCATAGCGAGGAAATCCGAATGTCACAAAAAAAACATTTGATTTCATTGTGAGATGATGTTAGACCAAAAGAAAGGATTTCCTCCAATGCCTTACACTTTAAACGTCAGATTTTTTTTAGTTTCAAATCCCTAATAAGTATTAGGAAAACCCGGGTGAACTACGTCATCCACTGGATAGAGACTTATCCAGTACTATAACGTTGTCCCCCTTTTTTTAACAACTGCGACCTGAACCTTTCACGTTTACATACCGCCGAAAATACAATTCTATCAAGAACATTATTTTTATTTAGATAAAGAGCAATCAGGGGACACCTTTTGACAAATTATTATCTACAAAAATTGTTTGATGAATTCGAGATAAATAAACAGCACCTTAGTTGCAGCCGTGAGTGCTTCAACTAGCTGGCGTTCTAGCATTTGAATTGTCAAAGCAGTCAGCAGCCTCCACCTATTGTTTTAATTCGACTGATCCAGGATGATACTGTGAGATTAAGAGGAAGATTTACGTAGCAACAGTACTTATCACCAAAGAAGAAAGCTGTTTCGTTTAATTTGAAAAGTAGAGCTGAATATCTCTGTCGATCCAGAACTGAGATAAATTTCCGGGGAGGGAATTGTCGTAACAAAAAAACCGTGCCCGTACGTTGGAAAATTGGAATTAAGCCCCTCAATTGGGTGTGGCTCCAGCTTGATTTGACCACCAACTCGTCCCCAGTCGTCTCTTATTATTTTGTAAGCGGTCAAGGAACGGTTGCGGGAGACTATTAGAAACTCGTACGAAGGGGACGATGGGAAGGTGAAAGGGGAAATATAGTCTCTTTCCTCCTTCCCATCATCCCCCGCACTTCCCTTTACCACGCTTCTCTCGTTAATATTAATAGGAGACTGAGAGACAACTGGGGACGAGTCAGGATTTGACCCCAATACTCCAACACAATGACGGCATTTGCTACTTTTATTTAGCTTAATCTTTATGCACAACCCTAAGCAATTTTTTTATGGGTTAAAAATAATCGCTTTCCTTTCCGAACACCCTAAGTCAGACCAAAATCTGAAATTTCTACTCCTAAAAGTGACGACGAGCAACACCGTCATTTTCATATGGGAATCAGGTATACAAACAATTGTTAAAAAGTTACATCGATTCGAGATTCATTCTTCCTTAAAACTTTCGCGCACAACAACCTTGTTTCTTGAAGGTTCGAGTTATCGAAAGTCCACTGTAAGTAGAAATAAGTTATTGCCAACTAACAGCGTCGCGAAGACGCGAGGATGCGAGGGGCAGCCTAATAAAGCCGAATTCCCGATAGCTCGAGTTATCGGGAGCTCGAAGAAAATACCCGGGAGTAAGGAAAAGAACAGTTTTTACGGCACAGTAACCATTTTAATCACATTTAATTGTAGAAATGTCAAGTGAAAATTAAAAGATTCTTCTTGATTATAAATATCAGAATGTAACGCAACAAATAGCTTGATTAGAGCATGCATATTACTGTTTTGAGAAGTAAAGCTATTTCACGTTACTGAGATTTGTGAAAAACAACATCAGCCTCCACCAGTAAACTATAATATGCCTACAACACGTCAATGGGAAATTCAAAATTCAAAGTTTCAGACGCCATTAGACTCTTTTTTCCCGACTTTTTAAGGTTTTAAG